TTGTATGTAAAATATATCTCGCGAGATTAAGTCAGTATTTGTACAATGATTGATAAAAGCTGGAAACGTATCTGAATCATAATGTGGCCTCATCATGGGAACACATCAAATATACTTACAGAACTTCATCTTTATCACCACCAAACAGCAACTTGGCAAAACGATTTTTAAGACCAAGGGGAATAACTCCTACTGGAATGTATTGACTGAATGTCTGGAAAAAATGGATCTTATTTTCAGCATATGGTATATACTCGTCAAACTCAATTTGTTAATTCAAATACTTCGGTCGGATATATATAAATATATATAATATATACAAAAGGGTGTTTATAAATCTCCATGATAAACTTTCAGATATCATACATTTATCAAATCCTCAAATGCAGCACCATATTTCATGTTTATTATGTTTCAATATCTACAATTAAGATTATTCAGATAGAAATGATAAGAGAAAGTTTCGGATTACTGAGAAAGTCACTTAATACTGAAAAAGTCTTCGGAGTACTGCGAAAGTCTCCAGAGTACTTAGAAAGTCTTCGTAGTACTGAGAATGTCTCCGGAGTTCTGAGAAAGTCTTTGGAGTACTGGGAAAGTCCCCAGAGTACTGAGAAAGTCTTCAGAGTACTGCGAAAGTCTTCGGAGTACTGAGAAAGTCTCCGGAGTACTGACAAAGTCTTCAGAGTACTGCGAAAGTCTTCGTAGTACTTAGAAAGTCTCCGGAGTACTGGGAAAGTCTTTGGAGTACTGAGAAAGTCTCCAGAGTACTGAGAAAGTCTCTGGAGTACTGAGAAAGTCTCCGGAGTACTGAGAAAGTCTCGGGAGTACTGAGAAAGTCTCGGGAGTACTGAAGAAAGTCTCTGTAGTACTGCGAAAGTCTTCAGACTACTGCGAAAGTCTCCAGAGTACTTAGAAAGTCTCAGGAGTACTGAGAAAGTCTTCAGAGTACTGGGATAGTCTCCGGAGTACTGAGAAAGTCTTCGGAGTACTGGGAAAGTATTCAGAGTACTGGGAAAGTCTTCAGAGTACTAAGAAAGTCTTCGTAGTACTGAGAAAGTCTCCGGAGTACTGCAAATGTCTTCAGAGTACTAAGAAAGTCTCCATAGTACTGCGAAAGTCCCCATAGTACTTAGAAAGTATTTGGAGTACTGAGAAAATCCTGGAGAAACAATATCATACCTTGCCTTCCTTCCTCATGATCCCGGTAGCAGTCTAGAAACAGACGAAACACACTCTTGGAATATCAGTTTGATCTTGATATGGTATTTGAAAGTTGAATATTTTCCCATTTTTCTCTATTTTAGCTCTTAATGATAAGACATTTGAAAATTCCTGGGCAGGAATAGCGATGATAATCTTTACCTGCCACACTCAAAATGGTCGTCAGGAAACCATTTTGTTTCTTCTGATCAGTCCCAAAATCAATGTATAAGGAGAGACATAAGGGAACATATGTAAGCAGTCATTCATTACCAAGTATAGCCTACAGTAGTCCTTCATTACCAAATATAGCCTACAGTACTTATTCATTACTACGTATAGCCTAAAGTAGTCCTTCATTACCAAATATAGCCTACAGTACTTATTCATTACTACGTATAGCCTAAAGTAGTCCTTCATTACCAAATATAGCCTACAGTACTTATTCATTACTACGTATAGCCTAAAGTAGTCCTTCATTACCAAGTATGGCCTACAGTAATTATTCATTACCACGTATAGCCTAAAGTAGTCCTTCATTACCAAGTATAAACTGCAGTAGTCCTTCATTACCAAGTATAGCCTACAGTAGTCCTTCATTACCAAATATAGCCTACAGTAGTTATTCATTACCACGTATAGCCTAAAGTAGTCCTTCATTACCTAGTATAGCCTAAAGTAGTCCTTCATTACCAAGTATGGCCTACAGTAGTTATTCATTACCACGTATAGCCTAAAGTAGTCCTTCATTACCAAGTATAAACTACAGTAGTCCTTCATTACCAAGTATAGCTTACAGTAGTCCTTCATTACCAAGTATAGCATAAAGTAGTCCTTCATTACCAAATATAGCCTACAGTAGTTATTCATTACCACGTATAGCCTAAAGTAGTCCTTCATTACCAAGTATAAACTGCAGTAGTCCTTCATTACCAAGTATAGCTTACAGTAGTCCTTCATTACCAAATATAGCCTACAGTAGTTATTCATTACCACGTATAGCCTAAAGTAGTCCTTCATTACCTAGTATAGCCTAAAGTAGTCCTTCATCACCTAGTATAGAATACAGTAGTCCTTCATTACCAAGTATTGCATAGGGTAGTCCTTTATTACCAAGTATAACCTTAAGTAGTCCTTCATTACCAAGTATAGCCTAAAGTAGTCCTTCATTACCATGTATAGCCTACAGTAGTCCTTCATTACCATGTATAGGAGTAGTATCATCATGAAGTAAATTTTCTATTTTTTTTACGTAGTTTGCCTTTGCCTCACGAATGAGGTCAATAGTCTCATTCCTTATAGTTTCCCAATAATGAGGATTATTTCCTGATTTAGCTTTCTGTGTATTCTAATACGCTGTCTCATTTTTAATCTAATAGTGTTATTCATCCAGAATCAGCCAGAGATCTGGTTTAAACCACTCAAAATCAGCATTAACCATTGTCAATCAAAAAGGTGGGGACTGAGCAGGGTTGGGTGATCTTCCAGCTGTTCAGTTCTCCAGACACTATATATAAACACCAACTGAGCATGGCTGTATGAAGAAAACAGGACAAACACAGCAAAACAATCATACACACATACATACTCTCACAGCTTTCAATTACGCACACGTTCACAAAATAAGGAAGTGGAAGTGACACATCATGATTCTGGGACGCTTGAAATTCAAGATAGGGGTTCGGAAAAACGCAACTCGAAAAGCGGGTCAGAATTTCAGGAATTAACACACATCGATGACTTTGGAATATATATAAACCACGTAAAATCTTGATTATACAACTAAATACTATATATATATTTTTGAGACACTGATAAAATAAATAAATGGGTAGATAACACAATATGAAGTTGCGCAGAATACAAGCAGTAATTTTATTTGTAGACGGTATCATTAATATAACCATACTTTCACATACTTGACCTAAATCAGTTATCAGTACAGGTCAATGGCTAACAAATGTAGAATTGCTCTCAGACTTTGTCATCGTAAGCTCTTCATTATGACAGTAGAATATTTACTATGAAACAACTGACATCTAGTTTTATTTATTAAAACATATTTTTCGGGGGACAGTTATGCATTATGAAATATATAATTAGGAAATTGATTGTTAAATTATTTAAATTGTCAAAATCTGGACCTGTGTTTTAAAATTGATTATCTATCTGTGAATCAAGCAGTAAAATAAATATGGTGACATCTGCGTTACCGTGTTAAGTGTGGTGTAAGTACAATTACCATTAAATCTCCTATCTGATCAAGTTTGATCCAATATGATCTGAAGGGCTGGAATATCTGTATATTATTGTTATAACAGATTTAACACGATTATATCACAATATGATCTGAAGGGCTGGAATATCTGTATATTATTGTTATAACAGATTTAACACGATTATATCACAATATGATCTGAAGGGCTGGAATATCTGTATATTATTGTTATAACAGATTTAACACGATTATATCACAATATGATCTGAAGGGCTGGAATATCTGTATATTATTGTTATAACAGATTTAACACGATTATATCACAATATGATCTGAAGGGCTGGAATATCTGTATATTATTGTTATAACAGATTTAACACGTTTATATTACAATTACGTTTATCCTAGTATATATACTTCTATTCTAAGTCACAATGTTCCATTAGTTTAGTACTTGATCGAAATTAGGGATCATCAGCGTCTTTTGAACGCCAAGAGTTCACTGACTTCGATTATACGAATAAAGCGATGTGTTGAAGGCTATATGTTTCAATGAGCAAGCCAATCACTCTAGTACAATTGCTTCAATAAGGGGGGGAGGGGGGGGGCTGTTGACGACAATCCAACCGATGTGCCTGTGAATGGTAAAATTTTGACAAAAGTTCCACTCGAACCGAGTTTTACATATGGCTTACATATTATTCAAAATGCGGTCGTACATGTATGTTGATTTTCCCCATTATTTTGTATGTTTGATGCAAGTCTGAGCATATCATCCGATAGTAATTCCTAAAGAAATGACATCAAAGGAACAATGTTATTTGGTTGATTTTTTCTTGTAGAAACGGTGATCTTTGAACTTTGACACAGATCACCAGGTGTATTATCAACTTTCCTTTCCTGATTGTGTAAAAGGGACTTTATGATCTTTTTAAAATTCCACAGTAAAAATATTCTGTTTAATTGTGTGTTTCTTTATATCGCCAACTTATCCCCGATGGTCACTTTATAAGATAATAAAACTGAGTTCAAAAATGTCTTATTATAACATCAGGATATCGCATTGTCCTCAAAGATTTCTCTTTGATTGTCACCTTGTATACTTTTAAGACCGTTAAAGTATCTCATTTTCTCAGAACACTTTTGATTTTGTTGGGAATGGTTAATTAAATATGATAATAGCTCTGAAGTCAATCTTACTGATTATTGAGACAGGGGACTTGGTGATGTCTCATTTCCCTGTTGCGAATGACATGTTTAGGATTTAGAATGCTACATCATTTTGCCCATTCTACTTTGATAGGAAACATTTGTATAATTTTGTTTTCGATACGAATGCTTTCACTAAAACCCAACAAAATTATTTCAAGTTTTCGAACTGTCCTTATACCATAGACTGAAATAAATGTGTATTACAGTAAACTGTAAAATACATATGCTGATTTGATATGTGCACGTCAAACAGTGCCTTCATCCTTCAAAATATGCTTAAGTTGAAAACAATGGAAACCAAATCTTGACAGCATGATGGCATTTCACGCCTTAGTTGTTTCATGACGAGAACATACACAACATAAAATTATTGAAATATAATGCTTTTATTAGTTTCTTAACACTGTAGAACTGTGAATTAGCACATGTTGACTTTAATTATTAAGCAGGCGCGACAAGATGCCCACTGAACGTTGTATACATGCTAGCGTAGTAGTACGAGTTAAGATTTGGTCTTGCGATTAGATAGACTTGTTGTCCCTGGTCAAGAGAGAGATACACTGTATTTGATGATGTGCCCCAACTAGGAAGACTCTCAGCCCATACTGTCACAACCCACTGGTCTTCGCCCTCACCGGTCTGGAATAACTGGACGGCAGCCTGAAATATCACGATCGTGTTAGTTTTTCCTGCAGTTTATTACTTATACGATCAATACTAAATATCTGATATTTACATTTCATTAGGTTTGGTTCCTGTAGTATTTGCATACGTGATATTTCAATACCAGGAGAAGGACTGAAATGGTTTGGTTATACATAGTCATTGCATTGAGTATCATTACAGTCCATGGTATATTGATACATTTTAAACGGCATGATCGATGCCAAAACTAAAACTCTCGCTTTATAAACTGTATTATGGGCGTATGATAAGCTATGCGCTAATGGGTTTCCTTTTTTCCTCAAAGTTTAAATCTTATGAATGGTAACGTTATGCAAAAAAAAAACAATGTCAAAGATGTATACATTTAATTTTACAACAATTGCGAATCAAGCTAACAGATTAAATGAAGCGTACGAGGGACCTTACAATGGTAGGAAATTGCAAATTACAAGAATCTGGGATAACCCACCTTTTTCGGACAGGTGAGATATCATGCAATTTCACGTCCGTTCTGGAAATTGAACCCCAGACGTCTAAGTCAATGGCGAGTGCGTTACCACTGCGCCATCCGACCGTCCGAAGATATTATTGTCATAGAAACAGCCGATGATTTCATTTCAGAGAATTTTTATTTTTATGTTTAAAAAATATTCTCGATGTTATGGAAGTTTTTAGAAATTGTTTGTAATGCAAGTAAAGAAATTTTCTTAGTCTTTAAAAAATCTTAAATGAAATGAAATCATGAACTATACTAGATACATGTTCAATCATAGTACGTTGTCCGGTTTTCTTGTGTATGACATTCATAATATGACGTAATAATTTCCTCTTCTTTGTCTCTAGATAATTGAACGTGAAAAAAACATTTATAAACTGGAAATGGAAAGCTACCGTTTTTCTTTCTTGTGCTGCTACAACAATATTGAAGACATAGACACCGGCAGATTGTGCTGTAAACATTCCAGTATCTTTACTGTAGGCTGAACCATGGTTATGAAGCACGCGCTGGTACTTCAACACCGAACTATCCAAGGGGCCCATGTTTTTCTCCATGGCAACAAAGAAAGCCAAGTGAGGTCGTGACGTCCCTGCCATAAAAAATCGGTTTCAACATTTACAAGATGTTTAATAATAAATAGTCGGACTTTATCCTGAAATCAGATAACCCAGCTGGGTAAGTGTGTCTGAGGGAACATACTATATTATCTGTTCATTTGTAGATAGTAATGTTTGTCGTTTTTGTTTTGAGTTAATCGGAAAAACTTGTTTTAAAGCTATATGAAAACACAAAAACTCATTTCGTCATGATTTATTAACTGCAGAACCACATATATTCCCTTCGGGTTCATTTGTCCTATCAAAATGAGAAACAAATTCATTCTCAATATTGTCCTTAAGAAATATTCATGCTCGGTTGTCCTTTAAGATAAAAAAAGACATTTATATATCTGATAGAAGTGAATGTTATTGATTGCTAGGGTTAAGCTTTATCTAATTCTAGTGACTTCTTCACTAATTCACTCTATTTAGTGAAGCAATCATGACTTCAAGAGACGATCTATGAAATGATCTGCTTAGTTAGGCTCAAGAGGTTTCTCGGAAGTATCGTACAAAACACATTAGATCGATATCTGAGGCTGTGAAGTACTCCGACATTCACTTTTGTGGTACAAACCAAATGTATCATCAATGCAAGAGACACAATTCTTGGTGAATTTCAAATAACGAAAATACTTAAGAAACTAACGTGTATGTTTTTCATAAGCTGTTTCTGTTTTACATGTTACTTCATTCAATTTCTCCTGATAACTTAAATGATTCAGATATGTAGTTTCTTTGTGTCTTCGATTAAGATTTGCATGCCCAAATATAGTCAGTGATTTCTTTTCTTCTGTTTTTCCGAATAGGTGGTGGAATGTCCTCTTTCACCTACAAAACGGTCTCAACAGTCCCCTTTAGGTCAAAAATCGAACAATTCTGTTATAGATTTTACAAAAGCTTAAAGTATTTCAAGTACATTCAAAAGAGTAACTGGGGACTGAGTTTTTGTAGCTTCACACATATATGTCCGTCATCCTGAACATACTAGTTCAATGTTTTTCTTAAACTATTGTTCTTAAAGTTTGCCTGATTTACCGTGTTAAAACTGTTTTAATAAAGTAAATTATAAGTGTATGTCTCTATGACAAACATTATTATTATATCCATATTACGTACCCGACTCTCCCTTCTGGCCAGGAAGTCCGGGCACACCAGGAAGTCCTGTCAAACCTCTCGGACCAGCACTTCCGGGTTCACCTTTCCTGTTTTTACACTCAACCTTCAACGTGCATCCTGCATTTTCGTCTTCATAAGACTCAAGAGGGGGTGATGGTTTGTAATACTTTTCATCAGACACCTGGGGCTTTCGGTTCGAATAAATCTTTGAGTATTTTACCTTATCGCCATTCACAAGTGAAACAGCCAAAACAAACATGGTCATGAATGATGTTGTTAAAAGCATCGTGGCTTTTGATTGTTCTGCAAAACTAAAACTGAAATAAATTTGAAAATAGGTTTATATTATTTTTATTCATCTTTATCAAAACAGGAGTGCAAATGACTGAGCCTTGTAAGCTTACTGTTCGGCGAATGGACGGGAGTATAAAGTTAGTTGAAAAAGATGGATATTTGAGTTAACATCGGTAGTATTAGAAGATTTAAATGATAGGTTAGAGAAGGTTAGAGACCATCTGTAAAAATATTACACAAGAAAACATATCTTCCTCAAATAAAAATAAAGTGATATTAGAATAATTGATAGCATAAGATTTGAATTAAAGGTCAAATAAGCAAACAGAAATATCGGAACTCAATTAGAATATGTCTATATGTAGATGTTCGGGAACGGTTGAATTTCGCTATGTTTTCGTAGAAAACTCGCAAAAATCAGTCGTCGCGATCGCCTGCACTTGAACTCCTTAACACTGATTATAATATTTGTAAGAATGTATCACCGCAAATTAGTGTAAGTGAACAGAATCTTTAGATCAACGATATCAGTATTTAGATTCATTTTAGTCGTCTATAGACATTACTAGAATAAAGAATCACTCATGATGGATATCATTAAAATCATAGAGAAGTGAACAACTAATTTCAATGTATTTCAATACTATTTATGTTAATGAATGCATTTTTAATAAAACAGACAAGTAAAATAGCATAGGAAATACAAAGAATATTAATACCACCCCACCTCCACTCCAACGCCCCCACCCAAACACTACCCCTTACCCAAACGCCCCCCCCCCCCAACACCGCCCCTTAAAAAAGAAAGAAAAACGATTTTCATGGAAACTTCTGAAAAGTTGTAAATAAGGCTTACAAAATCAAACGAAAACGAGAAAGGAAAAAAAATCACTATACAATGATTGCATTACCAAAACAAAACTGATTGGTTGAAAAAACAATATCTGCGGATTAGAAGATAAATTTTTAAAGATATCAAAGTGGCTAGAAAACTATATTCTGATACTAGATTTCAGTGCAAGTCTATAACGCTTTGCATTCCCTTGAGATTAAAAGAGACAATTTCAGAAATTGTAATGGACTAATACCATTTTTGTATTACATACAATCCATCTTGAACATCTAGTTTCAATATGGTGGGTGGTTGTCTTGTTTCTATTGCGTCCCGCTATCTGTTTACCATGAAGTTTTAGTAATACATGTAACATATGTATATGATTATTTTAAAAACATCGTGGAACTCGTTATCTGCAATTCCCATATGGAAAGAATATAACTGTCAAAATAACATCTCTCAATTTTTTTCTATCCTTTTTTTATACTGTTTGTTCAAGTAGATATACATATTTTTGACTTTTATAAATAAAACGTTTTCAGAAAATATCTTAATCGTAGCGTATATGTAGTGATTTTGGAATGAGACTTGATACAACGTCTTTGTGTCACTGATTATCGTAGACATTTTATGTAATTTTCAACAAATAAGTAAAGCTTATTGAAGCGTTTCCGTTCCCCACCTCGCCACTGCTAAATACGATACGTTAGCATGTTATCTTCATATATACATGGATTTTATGTATACCTAACTTAATATCGATAAAAACGATGAAACATACCAAAGTATTGGTGTATAGATAAAAATATATAAATAGCCGTGACTATAAAATAGTCCTTCTATCCAAAAATAGTATGCATTGTTAAATATAAAGAATCAATTTTGGCTGAGATGCAGCTGGCCTCATTCCAGCACAATCGTGGAAAACACAAAAAGAAACCAAAGAAGTTCGTAAGGTTTCGTCAGACGGAGTCAATTTGTGACCAGGCCTTGTATAAGATGGCATTATATCTATAAAGTTCGGTTAGCCATAGAATATATTTTTAAGTAATACTTTACATTGTTAGTGTATGCTATATTACTGTGTATTATATTTCTATGATTTTTAGGCATTATTATAATTCATTAAGATATACCAAGTTAATCGTCAAATTGAAACATACATATTCCTATATAATGGAAAATGTGTCCGTACCTTTTGGTCCTCAGCTGGTACAGCGTCTTGAACTGGGAGAAGGGTTTGTTGTGAGGAAATAAACCTCACACTTTCGGAATAATTACGGGAGTCCTTTAAAATGTAGACTGTACGTAGTTTGTATCGTCGCATTCTTATTTGTGACTAAAAAAATACTGAAACTATGTAGAAGTAATGCGTTCGGGACATTCTAAAACGTTGGAATATTACAAATATCTTATGTGATCTATACAAGCATCAGGAGTATCACTTTAATTAATCTCATTTAGTAAAATTACTTTGTTATAAACTTATTGACACCGTCTCAAATTTTAAAATGCGGGAAACCGTTAATTTGTATTCAATGTACAGCGTTTATAACATGAAAACTCTAAGTCACTTATGTTTGTCAAAACATTTTATGCTAAGGAAAGATATTCTCTATTTGTGCCAAAAAACTTTAGATTCTTGCATATAGTGACTAATACCCCAGGAATTTCTCATCTCTCTTCAAGTTAACATTTATTGCTGCAATGTAAAACTTGCGATCACGTTCTTGCCTTGTTGTTAAGAGAATAGACCATGCCGTCGCTCTCTGTGTAATTACGTATAATCTGGCCGGATGTCATATAGAGAGTATGAAGATGTCTCCAGAACGTAGATCTACGTGCTTTTGTTTGTTTGTGTATTCATTAAGGACATACAATACTTTTTACTAGAAGTTAATTCTTAAAAAAGTGCTTCTCCTCCCTAAAACGAGTCTTTGTGTCACATGATGCCCCTCCCCCGAGGTTGTTCACATGACAGACTTCACATTTTTTTCACATCGACCTTTACCCTTTAAGGTTCTTATCTACGAAATGTGAGAACAGAATACAAGCAGGTCTCTTGTATATTTCATTCATTACATTTAAAATAGTAACAAGCCATGCAAACGTTATGCTGTGAATAATAACTTCAGTCGTATTTCGTCATTTGTTTTCCCATGTTCTACATTGTATATTCTCTAAAAGTTATCGTGAATCGTGCAAAATTATAAACTCGATAAGGTGATGTTAACTGAAATAACGAAACATTAACGGTTTCTAGTGAATTAAGGTTGTGACAGATAAGGCACGCATTTGGAAATTGTAAACATCGAAAATTCTTCAATCTTATCCCAGGATTTTATCTCATATTCAGTGATGTTAATTGTTTTGTTTGCTTTGGCAAAATGCGATTTACATTCCAATTAGATAATATCACAGATTGACTGATACACTACCAATCAGTAATAAAGGGTTCATGCTGATAATTATTTCTATTAGGATATGGTTATATCAAAGCATAAATATGCGATAGATATATAATAACATAATTCTTTCGGAGTTTTTTTCAAATTCCTTTTTTACTGCATATACATATATTGACAGCATACATGTGTGATCAATTGAAATCAAAGTTTGAAAGACTTTTTAACCTTGCAATGAAATACAATCTAGAAAATGTCGTACGTAAGTACTGTAACTACATATCACTGTTTTTATCTACTAGATATGAAATTCAATGACTTCACAGTTCTCACAACGGCCATATATAGTATGTCTTAATTGACCTGTAGGTTTCATTTGGCGTTTCCATTTTTCAAATTATTTTGTGAGATGTCATTGTGCTTTTCATGAACGATTGAATACATGGTACATTCACCATGTAGCTTTAACTTTGACTGCCTAGCATATCTACGAACACCGACTGAAAGAAATGAGAGAGACGAGTATGTTGCATCCCTGGCGCTTATTTTTAGGGGATATTTTTTATTATACCGTAAAATATAACTTTTAGGATAAGTTTTTTTTTTAAATTATTGTTGCCATGGAGTACATCAATAGCACAAAAAAATCCACAACTCTGAAACACGAATTGATACAGCTTGGTAAATGATGCGTTCACAAACTTTCTCTGGAGCATTTATTGTTACACGTGCCGCTAGAAAATAAAATAAGGTTTATCATCAGTTGCATTAATTGGGCGCATAACTTTCTTTACCGAAATTTATCTAATTAAAATAGTTATGACAACCTTGTCACAATGTGTTAAAGTGTGGTACAAGAAGAGTAGGTTCCGGTAAGTACCTTTTGAATTATCACTGACCCTCCATATGTAAATCTAAGTCAATCCAAGTAAGCTATCAATTCGTTTTTCAGAAAACAATGCTGATTAGTTATGAATTATTTTGCTTAATCGTAAGGTGCGGTTTATTTCATAATTTCGAATTACTGTTCAGTTGTGTGCTTTTGTACATATCAGTTTGCAACAAACAAGTAGTTTGTAATATTGTTAACAAGAATAATTTGTTCCTTGGAATTCTTCTTCCTTACATTTAAAGGTGAAGAAATGAATCATAGATAAGGGTTATGCTGAGGCCCTCTTTAATCAATATTATACTGTAAACGAAAAGGGGATAACGAGTGTATGTGTAAGCAAAAACTAATCAACCAATGTAGTCTGATACGATTATTGATATTATTATTGTTTTACTTCTTTTCAGCATGAATGAAAATATAACATTTTAAATAATGGATAATAAAGGCATAGTAAAGTGTTCATAATTATTATATCATTTCCCGTCGTGTACTTCGAAAGATCTTGTTCACAATCGATCAAATGTGAAATATTTGGAAACCAAATTTTGACGGCAAGGGTCAACATTATAAGCTCAGGTCATTCCATGGAGTGATATAAAACGAGTAATATACATTAAACGATTTTGCGTTTTTTTTTTTTTGTTTTTTTCAGCTTTTTCTGAACATGAAACTTTTTGTTCGTCAAAATCAAAACTTGTAAATGTGGTTTACAGCATGTGTCCACTGAACGTGGTATACATATTTGCGAAGTAATACGAGTTCAGGTCTCGGTTTGCCAAGAGATACACTTTCTGTCCCTGCTGGAGACTCAAATACACAGTATTTGATGATGGGCTCCAATTTGGAATACTCTCGGACCATACTGTTACAACTACCTGGTCTTCGCCATCACTGGTCTGGAATAACTGGACACTAGCCTGAAATGTAACATTTCAATAGAATTTGTTTCTGTAGTATTTGCAAACGTGATATTTTAATACCAGAAAAAGGAATAATAGAGTTTGGTTATACATATTTGTTGCATTGAGTGAATATCTGTTAGGGATGATAAAATGTGGCTTATATTGATGATGTAACATCTAAGTTAATATATTCGATGGACGATACAGTGAGGTTTATACTGATGTTGTAACATCTAAGTTAATATATGCGAGGGATAATAAAGTGATGCTGATATTGATGCTGTAACATCCAAGTTAATATATGGGAGGGATGATAAAGCAGGGTTTATATTGATGTTGTAACAAATAAGTGAATTATATTATGACAAATTATGATAAAACCTGGCGGTATATGAAAAAAAAGCAACATGAAAAATTTTAAGCTGTGATCTTTTGATTTTCAGTTTTGGTTGTTTAGTCAACAACTGAAATGCATAAAACATATTTTGTTGTCATAAAAAAGACTTTATTTCATGTTTAGCTGGAAAAAATATTCTCATGGCAATTTTTGTTTAAAAACAATATCATTTTCAGTCTCAGTTGAGAATTAGAGCTTTGGAGCTTTTCCACGGATTTGTCTTTATATCAGGAATAATCAACAATTCTAAATCGTTTTACAAAACTCTTATACAACATGACATTTATGTCATCAATCAAAGTGCATACAAATTACTTCACAGGATATTATTTTTATTTAGAAATATCGAATTGAAAAGGGATACATTACACTTTTTCCATGTTGTGCAGCCACTACAATGTTAAAGACATAAACACCACTAAATGGCACTGTAAACTTTCCGGAAGTGGAGTTGTATGCTGAACCTTCGTTGAGGAGCACGTAATCGTACTTCATCACCTGGCCATTCAAAGGTCCAATGTTTTCGTTCAACGCAGCGAAGAAAGATACACCCGATCGTGTCAATTCTACAACAAGAGATACTTAATGATTACGGATTAAACAAACTCATTTGGTCGAAAATAATATCAAAATTAAGATGGATAAATGTTTTATTCCTTTATGAAGCTTATGTGATTCATATTGGATTTTTGCCTAATCTACATTGATCAGTGTGCATCCCATCAAGTAAAATTCAGATTTGCGTGAATCTGCATGTGATCTACTTTACTGTTTTGCAATTTAGATTATATACCCACTCTTTGCCAAGTAATTCTTTTATTAGATGAAAGGAAACATATACTGCTGGAAATACAGTTATTCGAAGGAATATATTGTTTGTGATCAAGTTTTGCCATTTGTGTGTGCTGGAGAGTGATGGAAAGTCATCTCCCTCATTCAGTACATGTCCATGTTAACCACACCTTTTTGACATTCAAACATTAAATAAATTAATAATATGATATGGAATTCGTATCTCAATAATGATGCTACCGATTTATCTGGTTAGAAAAAGTACATTGTCACTTGGAGTGTGAAGATATGTTTTACAACGATACAAGCTTAGGAATAGTTGATAGTATCATTTCTCTAACGTGTTGATAAGAAAGAAACGAGAGATTGTATTCATCCGTTATGGAATTGAAATCATGAAAACATATACTGATTTTTATTAATATTTTCACTAACATTTCCTGTTTGACGTTAAACTGCATATGACTTCGTAACGAAATGACTTTCCAATGGATGCATTGAATCTATCGGTAAATAATAGTCTGGATATGTCACAAAATATGTAATGGTGCTATTAAAAGACAATAAGGTGTTCATGTGATTTAAATGTCCATAGTTTATTTTTGGAGCTTCCACAGATTTATCAAGTGACCAATTTAGCAGCATTTCCTAATAAGGTAAGACGACTTAAACCAATGAATTAAGATTAAATTAATCTGATTTTTTTTTAGAAATGTGTGGGGGAAAATCAATTGTTATTTTTTACTTAATGATAACCACAATCATTATAATGCTACAATGTAATGACACGACATACCTTCCGTTCCTTGTTCTCCTTTCTGTCCCTTTAATCCAGGAAAACCGAAAGGGCCAGGAAGGCCAGGAACACCTATCAGACCAGGTATTCCTGGTTCCCCTTTTCTGTTTTTACATTCAACCTTCAAGTTGCAACCAGATGTTGCGTCATCGTCTTTTTCAGGAGGAGGAGGAGGATTCGGCAATGGAGAATATCTCGAGTATTTCTCCTTGTCGCCGTTTACCAGCGAAACAGCTAAAGTAATCGCTAAAGTGAACAACGTTGTCCAATACATCGCTACGTTTATTTCATCTGCAAAAGAAAAACTATGTTTATTGTAATGTCATTGTACTTTTTCAGCAACAGGTAGTATGTTGTCCTTTGTCAAATGTAATAATATTGCAAATTAAACACGTGTTCCTTTCATTGAGGACGCCGTTAATGCAAGTCTCAAAAACTTTGAGTTTGACAAAATAAAATGAGCAGTAATATATTACTAACTCATTCAAAAGACCGGGAATTGAAAGTGTAATGGTCGCAATTTTCATCTCATTGACAAATATTTTATTTCGTTGTAAGACATGAGGCTGGACGTATTTGATGCTTGCTAGTGTGCCTGTTGGTTCCGTTATTGTGTACCTTGTTCTTATTTGAGAACATTACTTGCTTGGATTGGCCAAGATTTATGTGGCGGGCATTGTCGATGAAGGAGAAGACAATTACTCTTCAGGAAGACTTGGTCTTTTTCTCTTTGTTATTTTCCATGAGTCTCCGTATAACTTTATTGTTCATATTTTTGCCGTTGTTTTATGGAATTTCAGTTTGAAATTTCACGCAACACTGCTTTCTCCAAAATTAGTGCGATACTTTTTTGTTGAAATTTTGCGAGATACAATCTTGTCCAAATTTCGCGCGTTACAGCATTTTGCAATTTTCGCACGTCATATATTTTTTTAAACTTCGCAGGAACATTGTTAAAATTTGGCACCTTTCCGAATTGACTTAATTTCTTGCAATGTCATAATTCTGCAAAGTATGGACAAGTATAGAATGCTTTAAAGTACGTACAATGTTAGTAGAATATTTGGAACATTTTCTACAGGTTGGTTATTTTTATATATTCTATGATATTGTCAGTAGAATATGTTCTTTACTGTTGCTGAAAGTAAACTCATGATATTAAACAATACAAACTTACCTATCGGTCCGCTGCTTATACGGTATAAAGATGATCCCGACCTTAGTTGTATGTGTTCTGAGATAACATATGCGTTCCTTATATACCAGGCTATTTTGTCTGGAATTCTTCCCAACCTTTAGAAATAAGTTGGGAATCCTCTAAAATACTAACTGTACGTAAAAAAAGTACGCGCCTGGTCATGTATATGTCAATAAAACAATATAAAACAATGCATGATTCTTTGATAAATTTTGAAAATTTGGAATAAAGACACACAAGTGAATGGCGCTTTGTAATACAAGTTTAGAGTTGGAAACAGAAGAGCCAAACAGTGAATGAAAGTGCATAGTACAACTGTTTCGTCCCTAGGACCTTAGGACTTGAAGAATTTTATTAATGCTGAGGCATCAATTTTGGATTTTGTGAGACAACTGAGGAAAATTCAAAGTGATCGAAAGATGTCAAAATCTAGACGAGAAACTGTACTAGCCCTATAAATCAATGGATTGCTTACTTTTCATAAATCTGCTGATTTGCTAACAACGTGAAATACATGTGTATATTATGAACCATGCTACTATTCGAATGTATATATGAAATAAATCAATCTCCTTTATATCAAATATTTATATCAGAAGCTAGAGTTCTAATCTCCTTAGTATACTTTTCCTGAATTTGATTCGTTTGTTAAAAACGTGATATCAACGTCCCGAGTGTGACACTGCGACAAACGTTCGTTTATATACAATATGATCTTTCTTGTAACGAAACATGAAAAACTCTTACAAATGATGATCGTAATAAAAACAAATCCTGTATTTGCGTTCGCCATGATGTTAATGATGTTAGTTATTGAAATCGATTGTTGTTAAATGAGAATGGATACTTTGAATATTCCATGGACAATGTCTTGCATTTTACATAAGGGTATATTCACGTAATACGTAATAAAAAGAAAACATACTGTCGTTGTTCACTATTGATGATCTGAAAAAATCTATTTTAGGACCCACAAGATTCTTTTCTGAAAAATAAATGAAAGCTGTCCCGACAATTTCTATCAAAATAATAAGATTTTAAAATGTCGTCACATCACAGATATCACTTTATCTCGCAAGACTCCGTAATATATATATTGTAATATAATATATATACATGTATATATATAAGTGTTTCAGAGTTTATATTTCTATGTTTTTAGAGGATATATATATATATATATATATATATATATATATATATGAAACACTCTTATGAAAAATCTGACAAAGACATATCTTTGTAACACCATTCAAAACTTCAGACAAAACGGGCACTAGAAGGATGAAATGTGAGCATCATAGTTAGCATGTGTGTTTTATTAAAAGGTTAAAAAATACCCAAGAACATATCAACATGTAATTATGATAGAACCAAACTAAAATTAAACAACCAGGCAAAATGAACTCAAGGTTCAAACGGAGACTCCTGAAACGTTACAAGGAAATTAAGATCGGAGTATGGAATATAGACTGATTGAGCAACAGAAAATGTTCTTCAAATGAACGTTCTTTTGTTACTGAATGCCCTCGGATTTTTGCAGATGATAATTGTTTTTGCATACCGCACATTCATTATCGCTTTATTTTTTTCTATATCGACATTTTTTTTAAAAAAATATAAGCCCATGGTGACGACAAAATGAGTTCCAGCATCAAAACAGGAACTGGACACGTCACAGGCATGCTGTCAATTATAAATTCGATCACCTTAGGTCTTTGTTTTTTGGGGGTTTTTTTTCACATTTTTTAATATTCGGCATTTGGAAAATATTTCATCTGTTGTCGTACTTAATAAAGTACATTCGAAATAGGCAGTGACTTTGGTACATTGTGAAAAATTAGACAGAAATATAATGGAACTCTACACAGTCATTGTTACAGTACTTTATTTTGTATGTCATATTTCAAATTATTTAAATAGTGGCATGGTTCGGAATATACACGACTTGACGTTGTCAGCAAATTATCAGATATATGACAGTTGCGATTATTACAATCCTCTCGTTTCTTTTAAGTCGTTAGAGCAATTGTAGGTTTTAATAAAATACATTCACATGCATGTATGTTACATATTAATTAATGAATGCCACATTGGTGTTGAAGGACCCATTTTGATAAACACTTTATTGTGAAATATTTGTAACCACTAAGAGTTGAAATTTAACATAGTTGATAAAAGATGAATCTGTAAAAATAATTGTTAAACTGCAGATTGATAGTAGATTGATTGTAACAAAGAAATATCAAATGGTTAACATTTTTGCCGATCCACATATAAGTATATGAAAACCTAAGTACCGAAGATTATATGTAGACTTTCTTGCTTGTAATAATGGCGTATACTTGTTCTGCATATCCGTGATGGTTGTAAACTGAAATGCTGATTTAAGTATCTTTTATAATGTAAACTACACACTTTGCTATCATTGCCGACTATTGAATAATGCAGCTCGTATGTGGTTGTTGCTATACTTGTAAAATGACTATTTTCCTCAATATTCTTACTTTGTACACCAAGAGTATCCTAAGAAGTAAAAACATAACCATGTACATCGAAATGTATCAACAAAGAATATATATCATTTGGAATATTAAGATAAGATTGACGGGCTCCATTGTGAGAAAAAAATAATTTAGTGCTAACATGATTGAGTTCTTTTGTATGGCTATACAGATAAACATGGACACTATCATCTCAGAGCTGACCTGACTTCCACTTTGTTTCAATACTGCCAACGAAACATTCATTGTGTATAAGTAGGCTAGTCAGGCTACTTGTAATATGATTAGCATGCAGATAGACGATTATTTAATGTTTTATCGCTCTGTGAACAGCACGTGACACTGAAATATGGCGTCGCCTTGTAGCAGGTGGTCAATACTACGTGGCCCGTCGCATGCCATTAAAAATAAACATAGCCATGTCAGAACGACTTGCGTTATCTGGGTCATGTGAAACTCAGTAGACACAGCTAGTTAGGAATCGACAATCCCGATTCCCGAACCGCCAACACTATTGCGTTTCAATCCGGACCAGCAAGAGCGAGTGATATCAGCTGTATGCTTGTTTGCAATAGTTATATAATAATGATAACAATATTTATCATATAAGATAAAAAATGTTTCTCTATCTACAATTGTATGAATAATGTTTTATTGATATTATCTTTATTTTAAGTGGAATTGTTCTTATTGTAAATCTTTCTGACTTGGGAGTCAAGAGGACCTAAATAGTAATAGTAATTTATAGTACTAATAGCAATTTATAGTAACTAATAGTAATTTATAGTACTAATAGCAACTTATAGTATTAATAGCAACTTATAGTACTAATAGCAATTTATAGTAACTAATAGTAATTTATAGTACTAATAGCAACTTCTAGTATTAATAGCAACTTATAGTACTAATAGCAATTTATAGTAACTAATAGTAATTTATAGTATTAATAGCAACTTATAGTATTAATAGCAACTTATAGTACTAATAGCAATTTATAGTAACTAATAGTAATTTATAGTACTAATAGCAACTTATAGTATTAATAGCAACTTATAGTACTAATAGCAATTTATAGTAACTAATAGTAATGTATAGTACTAATAGCAACTTCTAGTATTAATAGTAACTTCCTTAAACTCAAAATTAAAGCCAACATTGCTCTGCTAATCAGTTACTTCATGTTCAGATAATCTGATACATAAGATATATATCAAACCTTAGAATATTTATAACCGCACTATTCAGATTTAAGTTCCATATCTAAATCAATCGAAATTTACCAAGATCTTTATATAAGATGTATGTAGACTACAGAGAGCTGCTGTGTGTATTCTTCATTTCGTTCATGTAACGATAAAACAAACGAGTTTTATATATATGTGACCTTACGAGTGCGAATGTAAAGATGTACAATTTTATTCCGGCCTGAAAGGTAACGTCTACTTGTTGGCGCACGTTTTAGCGCACGTGCTGGCGTACGCCTTTTAGCAAATCTAGGTTCTGATCTTGACATAAAATAACTAACTTTAATACAGTACTTCTATCAATAGAAACCAAATTAAGACGGAATGA